TCCAAAGCACCCACTTGCGAAGCACATCGTTGCAAAACATTCATAACTTTTACAGCTGAAAAAAAAAGAAGTGAAAAACAAATTTCACATGAGTGCGGCAGAAACTGTCCCAGTTAGTACAATATGAAAAATTCGAGACCGAACTAAGAGAAGAATTAAAACAGCACTTTTGCCAGTTTTGCTTCGTAATTTCTCTGCGAGTGTTTGGATTTTGCCAAGCAGTGCAGCGGAGTGCCGTCCTTGTAAAGCACCTGAACCCACAATAATCATCGGTCGTTTTGCTGCATGCAAACGCTAAAAAATATCTTTGCCGTAATTTATCTCTTTGCAGGTACTATTACTCAATCTGTAATTTCTTGTCAAAAACTGACCGTTAGGAAAGGAACTAGTGAAATTAGCTGCGTAGCAGCATTTTTACCAACCACCTTTTTTATCAACGACACTGAAGCATCGCTCCATTATGCAACCTTTTTGTAAGCGCAAAATTCCTTTCCTATGTCTCGACTTTTAAACAATGATTAATTTTTTTTTTCAAAGTAAATCAAAAATACAACGGCACAGAAAGGCATTCAGTTGCGAACAGGTCGTTCCGCAATGATCGGCTCGCTAAAAACATTACTAATGAACCTTGCACTCGCATTCACCTTCGCAAATTCACTTTTGCCGTCGATCACACCGTCCAGAACAGTGCTGTTGTCACCAAGATACTCATAATCATACTTCATGTCCACTTCTGCACCAATTACACCGATCTCAATATCTGTGTGTAGGAAACTGAAACAATGATCATTTACGAAAAACAAGTTCGTTCGAAGCAACTGTCTCGAACTTTTGAGTGTTAATCCATGTAGAACTATATTAGGTTTCTGTTCTACAGCTCGTCCCCAGTTCTTCACTGCGTAACTAATATATAAGCATATCATCTCTTTAGAAGAGCATGAGTGATTTGTTTTACGGAATTACACATTGATAAGCAATGTTTATCAGGTTCTTGTAAATCGAAGCGTCTGATAAGCTCTGCATATTGATACAGTTTCTAGTAAGCCTAGTCGGTGTTACCCCTATCGCGGTCTAGCCGGTCGTCTCGATCCGTTGTCCCGTCGTCATCCCGTTAATCATGACAGCACTTTGTGTAAGAAATCTTTTTTAGTAGCTAAAATAATATGTGCTTTTGCATGCAACATATCGTGGTCACTCAATGTTGAACGAAAAGAAGTATAAGATAGCAGTCAAGATGCCTCACGAATTAATCGGAAGAAAGTCAGCTTCGTTCGGTGAGCCAGTAAGACTAAACAGATAAAATGCATCGAAAACAGCCTCCACGCTGCAAAGTACATACCTCTTTCTGATACGAGCATTGAAAACTGCAGCTTCAAAGCGTGGATTTGTACCGATCAGCAACAGCACATCCGCCTTTTCCACTCCAATCAGTTTGTCACCCATAACATAATTGCATCTGGTACATATAACCGAGTAATCAATCTTTTTTTTTTTACTTTTAACAAGTAGCTAAAACTTCTTACACTCCGCATATTGAACCTACCGTAGATCTCCGCCACCACTTACGTCTGGAAACGATTCCTCTGTGCAAACCAATTCGCTATCAAACCGATTCATCAAATCTTTCAGTGCTACCAGTGATTCTGCAAGTACGGAATGAATTTCGATTTAACACATTCGAGTACAACAATTGAAAAAAAAATGCATGTGCTATCCAGCAACCTCAGGGTGAGACTAGTGCTCCTAGATTCAGTTATTAAACACCGAACCTGTATCACACAGATCCCCGGCTATTGCTGCCATCTGATCCGGAGAGGTGGAGCGTAATTTCGAAGCAACAGCAAACAATGCTTCTTCCCAAGTGCACGGCCTGCAAGCAGTCAATTCATTAAAAACTATTATTTTTCACAGGAGCTTTCACCAGAAAATTTGACTGGCAATGAATTACTCCAGAGATCCGGCCTGAGTTCGCAACATTGGCTGTCCCAATCTCTGTCGCTTTAAACCATCAACCACAAAGCGTGTCTTATCGCTAATCCATTCTTCATTGATATCCTTCAAAAAACCCCGAACATCAAGTGATCCTCAGCACTGCAGACAAGCTTAATACAAAACATGAACATGGGAAATCGCTATAAAAAAGCATTTACCTCACATAGCCGTGGTGTAATTCGCAGCAAATCACCTGTCCGATGTGCAATCACGATGTTTGAGCCAAGTGCGTCCATCACGTCAACACTTTCCACTTTTCGCAATTCCCACGGCCTGGCTGTGAAGCTAAAGAAAGTACCAGTTTTGCTGAATGCTTGCAAAAAACAAAAAGAGTTAATAAGTGAGTGAACAACCTGTACGGTTTGCTGAGAAGCGCGCCAACTGGACAGATATCAATGACATTACCAGACAACTCCGTTGCGAACAGCTTCTCAACATATGTTCCAATCTGAAATCGATCGCTGTCTGCATAACTCTTCTTGACAACAATTCATTTCGCATTGAAAATTGCAGAAGTAATCCTCAGACGTGCCCCAGGTGCGCTTTCCAGAGCAGTCTTGAGTGAACAGCACGTCCCACGTAAAGAAAAATGCCAAAACATTATCGCAATGAACAAGGATGTCAGAAGCTCTCCGTCACAACGTTTCCAAAAACGATACACAACCGTACACTAAAGCTACAAATGTGAAAAAACAAGACTTAGGATCACCTCCATGTCAGTTCCTCGACCAGTGGTACCGAAATCTGGCACACCAGCAATTTCATTGGAAAATCGGACACAGCGCGTGCACTGGATGCATCGTGTCATCACTGTTTTCACCAACGGCCCAATGTATTTGTTCTCCACCGCTCTGTAAAGTGCTCAAAATTGAGAGGACTTTATTTATCGCGTTGACAAGATTCAAAAAAAAAGAGTAACTTCTAGAAGGGACCTTTTTCCATCGTAGGTTATTCGTAAACGACTTCTATCTGAGCCAAATCCCATCGACTGATCTTGCAAGTCACACTCGCCTCCCTGTAATACATTTACTACAAATGAGAAGTACCAAGCATCGTAGCTTATCAAAATGATGCGTCGTCACTTAAACTTGAAATAGAAGAGTAGAAGAATTTCACTTGAATGTTATGTGTTTGAAGACATTTTATGACGCAGT